TGTTATGAATTGGCGCTATAAAAATAAAATTGAATTGAATTGAAATTGAATTGAATTGAATTAACATAAAGTTACAGTAGCTGTTGACAGATAAAACATCAGTAAGCGGTGTGTGTTTTGGTCAGAAATAAGTATAATTATTGTTATTATAAGTATATTTTTTTTACGTATACAATTTGACAAAAGGTTCTAGTGTAAGATCTTTTTCTTCCAGAGTGAACACACTTGGTAATTAAGAAAGTCAGTTGGAGTTCAGTGTTCAGTGTGTTGGATATCCAGGATTTTCTGTTGACATTTTCATCAAGGACTTATCTTCACTTGATATTATCCTGTTTGCAGCCCAGCCATCTGAATTCCACTACTCTAACTTATCAAGTGAAGTTTTTATTTGTGTAGCAATCAAAAAGTGTGGCGGTACATACCTCACCAACCTCTTCCTTGTCAGAGATCGGAGATCCAACAGTTGACTTTGGAGAGAAAATCACATTTGATCATGTTATTACTTAAATAATTGTTTAAATGAAGTCACCCATGAAATCACCCACCTCTACTTAAGTCAAACTGTAATGAAATGAATTCAGAATTTAAATGTTAGATTTAACATAAAGTGCTGATGATTCACACTTTAAGCCAGAGATATATTTGCTTTTTAACCACACTGCATTAATTCCCTTAAGACATGCACAGCCAACGGACGCAATATACGTGAGGCAGCCATCACGCCTACAAACACGTACTTAAAACGAGTGCAGTATATCTTCAGCCTTACTAATGATGAAGATCACAAGATGATGCTGATTATAGTGATGATGATAATGATGATTCTGTTGATGACAATGATGATTATGTTGATGATGATGATGATGATGATGATAGTAATAGTGTTGATAGTAATAATGACAATGATAGTGGTAATGACGATGATAGTGATGATGAAGGTGATGATCAGATGTTCACAGATGGCAGCAGTGTCATTAGTGAGATCAGCTTGTCCACTCACAGCAGGCTTCTCCTCCTTTGGGCTGCCAGAACTTTCTGCTGTATCTTCCTCGCCACCAGGGACAGCTGCAGGTCCCTCCACCTCTTCTTCAGCAGGAGGAGCTGCTGGTTCCTCGTCAGCAGGAGGAGCTTACTGGTCCTCATCTCCAAGCAGGGAGGCTACTGGTTCCTCGTCAGCAGGAGGAGCTACTGGTTTCTCACCAGCAGGAGGAGCTGGAGGTTCCTCACCAGCTGTGGGAGCTGGAGGTTCCTCACCAGCAGGGGGAGCTGAAGTTATGTCTTGTTCCTCAGCAGCTTGTGTCTCTGAGGCTTCAGGAGCTTCAGTTGATTCACTGTTAACTTCATTCTTTTGCAAAGAAAGATGGTGGACAACCCTGAAACTATTTAAATGTAGCACTTTGGCTGCTGACATTTTGCATAACACTCAAAATAAAAGGCTTTAAAAAACAAGTGTCTAAATGGAGCAGTTGTGAATAATAATCTGGGTTCATGTCTGTTTGTTTTCTTCATGTCATACTTATAAATAAATTAATAATGAAAATATGAAAAGTACCCAACAAACATTTTTGAGCAATGTCAGATAAAAAAAAAACATCTACCAGGCTAACCCAAGATAAAGAATGTGGAAAAACAAATGACAGCAAAGTGTAAAAGAGCTGATATCATAAGTACACTGATATTTAAAAACTATGCAAACACCAAATATAAATGTATTACATTTCAACCAGCCTTAAATGGTTACTGTCCCAGTCAGAGGAAACCGAATATATTTTGAGGTAAAAAAAACAATTCTAGATCAAATATAAAAAAGAAATAAACTGACACAAATGTTCACAAGAAACAGATTAAAGGACAGAACATTTCAACAGAAACAGCAAATTAAAGAAATTAATAAACCGTTTAGGGTTGTCACGATATCAGAAATTTAGTAGCCAACACCAATACCAGTTAAATTCCACAATTCATATGTAAATATGTCCCGATCAAGTTTTTTTTGCCCACGATCCCCATTTAACATCTCCTCATACAGAGTCCTGATCCATACTTGTATTTTTCTTAATAGTACAGGTGCATGGCATAAAGAAAAGAAAATGCCATCCAAGCTGTTCCTTGTAGTTTTTTATACTTATACTATTAAATAGTAGTAGAGTATAAAACTGCTTAACAAACACTCTGTAATCTTTTCAATCTTATGGCTGTCTATTTTTTGTCACTGTCTTCTACATGTTCATATTTGTGACTGTATAAGCTGTCCCGTCAAGTCCGGGAGTTCAGGATTGCATACCTGGTACCTCTGATACCTACGGTATACTAGAAGGAGGAAGAAGTACCATCAAGTTTTCAGAATATTGGTATCAACTTGGTATCGAAGTATCGGTTCTCGTGACATCCCTAATACCATTTCTAATCATGTTAACTTCAATACAATTGTGCACATAATTTAAAAACTTACCATCTTATCAAAATCAGCAAAAAATGATGGGCCAGTAGAATCCTTCAGAGTGCACATGTTAAAAAGAAAAATATATTTCAGTCAGTCAGGACCCAGAAATTCATGATAAGTTAGCATTAACAGAAGAATAATATTTAGAGAAGACTAAAAAACAAGACATTCAGAGACAGGATGTTAAGACATGTGCATTAACAGATGTAAGGAGAAAAGATTCATTGACGAGATATTAATAGATAAAATATTAAGAGACAAACTATTAAGAGACAAAACATTCAGAGACAAGATATAAATAAACAAAACCATAAGAGATGACACAAAGCTATGAGGTAATAAGAGACAAAACATTCAGAGACGAGATATAGACAAAGAAGATATAAAGAGATGAAACATTAAGAGACAAGATATATCTTGGAGTCATCTTTGATCAGGACATGCCCTTTAACTACCACATAAAGCAAACCTCCAGGACTACCTTTTTTCATTCACGTAATATTGCAAAAATCAGACACATCCTGTCACAGATGGATGCAGAAAAACTAATCCATGCATTTGTTACTTCTAGACTGGATTACTGCAATTCCTTATTATCAGGTTGCCCTAATAAGTCCATTAAGACACTTCAATATTATTGATAATTAATCATTATATTATTATTAATATTATTACTGATATTGTTATTATTATTATTATTATCATTATTATTATGGGAGGCTGTCCGTCATCATCATCACAATCATCAGTCATTTATATTAGTATAGTTTCTGCTACTGTTGTTGCTGTGCACATTTGTCTCTGTCCTTCTGTCTTTATCCCTCTATGTCTTTCTCTCTCTCTCTAACCCCAACTGGTCAAGGCAGACGGCCACCTACCTAGGGCCAGGGTCTGTCCAAGGTTTCTGCATCTTAAAAGGAAGTTTTTCTTTGCCACAGTCACCAAAGTCTTGCTAATGGTGGGAACTGTTGGGTCTCTGTAAATAATGTTATAAGGAGTACGGTCTAGACCTGCTCTATTTTAAAAGTGTCCTGAGATAACTCTTGTTATAAATTGCCGCTGTACAAATAGAACTTAATTTAAATTAATGAAATATAAAGAAACAAGATATACAGAGACGAAACATTAAGAGACGAGACATAAAGATGAAACATTTAGAGACAAGATATAAAGAGACGAGATATAAAGAGACAAAATATGAGAAGATGAGAGATAAAGAGACAAAATATGAAGAAACAAGATATAAAGAGACGAAAACATTCAGACAAGATATGAAGAAATGAGATATAAGGAAAAAGGACATTACTGGGAAAAAGGCTTCTGAAAGTTTGATGACATAAGCATGCAGTTAGGGTTTGGTCTGCTGTGACCTCTGACCTCTGCAGTGAGCTCTGACCTTTAACCAGATATTTTATAACTAGCTAATTCACTGGTTAAACATAATAAGGTGGTCATTTGTTTGCTTTTTGTGTCTTCATGTTGTATTTGTTCTATCTAACCCTAACCCTAAGATGAAAGAATAAAGTCTGTAAATTTTTAAGTTTGACCCTAATCCTAACAATAAAAAACAAACTGAGGTGGATAAAATCAACAGTCCTGGTGGACTGAATTAGAACTGAACTATCAATAACATAAAGATTACTGAATTCATCTCTGCTATTTCATTGAGGCAATGGGTGCAAATCTGAAAAATTACCTGTGAAAATCCATTAAACGCGTCTGTCACCTAAATTAAATTGCAAAGACAAATCAGTATTAGAAGCCTTTAGGGTACATGAGTTGTAAAGATGGATTCAATGTGAAAATTAAAGTATGGAATGAACAAGCAGACAAGGCAAGCAAGAGGAGAGGCGGGAGGAGCTCAGGCTGGGATCCAGGTTTCAAGACAACTATTTTCACTTTGTTTCTCAATCTGTGGGTGGGAAGACAGGAAAAGGGTTTTCACTTATTTCTAGTCTACTCTATGCTAATCTACCACACTGTAGACAGCAGGAAGTGAAGTACCTCTTCCTTTTCTGTATCTAGCTCTTGGTACAATTTTCCAAATCTCCGGTTTGCAGCCTCATCTTCGGACATGTCTGAATTTTCTGGTTCTTTGTGAATTCTGGGAACGTTTACATCTTTAACTCCTTCTGCTGCTGAGACTGACGCAGAGTTTCGTTGAAGGACAGAAGAGTCGAAGCTGCTGCTGTCACTAACTTCCTGCCAGGGTATGGTGTTGGAGGCAGGACCCTTAGTCCCTGTCGACGCTGATGGGAAAGTGTTGGCAAAAGGGTCTGTATCCCACCCACTGCTTCCACACCCAGTGACCACAACCCCACCTTCTCCTAAGGTCTCAGCAAATGGATCAAATTCAGAACCCCCTTTGTTTCCAAACTGTGTTTCAGCAAAAGGATCTGAATTAAACATATCTCCTGCCTGTGTTTCAGCAAAAGGATCTGAATCAAACGTATCTCCTGCCTGTGTTTCAGCTGAGGGAACTGAATCAAACATATCTCCTTCCTGTGTGCCAGCTGAGGGAACTGAATCAAACGTATCTCCTGCCTGTGTTTCAGCAAAAGGATCTGAATCAAACACACCTCCTGCCTGTGTTTCAGCAAAAGGATCTGAATCAAACACACCTCCTGCCTGTGTTTCAACTGAGGGAACTGAATCAAACGTATCTCCTGCTGTTTTCAGCAAAAGGATCTGACATCAAACACACTCCTGCCTGTGTGCCAGCTGAGAGGAACTGAATTCAAAACGTATCTCCTGCCTGCTGTTTCAGCAAAAGCATCTGAATCAAACACACCTCCTGTCCTGTGTGCCAGCTGAAGGGAACTGAATCAAACATATTTCCTCCTGTGTGCCAGCTGAGGCGAACTGAATCAAACTACTCCGCTGTGTTCCAGTCGATCAAAACCCGCTGTGTCAGCCAAAAGGATCTGAATCAACGCACCTTCCTGACCTGTGTTTCAGGCCAAAAGATCTGAATAAACGCACCTCCTGCCTGTGTTCAGTCAAAAGGATCTGAATCAAAACGCACCTCGTGCCTGTGTTCAGCAAAAGGATCTGAATCAAACGCACCTCCTCCCTGTTTCAGATCAGTTGGTTTTTCTGGCAGTTCCACTTCATCACACTCTGCTGAAACCTGTTCTACACCATCGTATCCACCTCCCTGTCCCTCTGAGGCATTCACTGGGGGACGATCTACATATGAAAGTTCATCATCAGCACTTGCCCAGCCTCCCTGACCTGCTTCACCCCACTCCTCAGCAGTTTCATATTCAGACCCAGACCCATCTGGAGACCTGGACCACTTGTCTCGTCTGTTCTCTGTGCTGTCCTCAATCTCTTCCCCATACTCATTGGTGAATATAAGTCCTGGAGTGGACTTCCTGCGGTCTTCCTGCCTTGAAGTATTAGCCACTGAACCTGCCTGCCCTGTCTCATCTTCATCACTTCTGACTGCAGAAGGATGAAGTTTGGGGTTAGTTTGAGGGTCCCAGCTGCTAACCTCGTCTTCAGCTGCTGTGGCTGCCTCACTGTCCTGAGGTGGAGTAGTTGTGTCTCCACCCGGCTGCCTGCCGTCTGCCTGGGGCAAGCCCTGAGCCCCACCCTGAGCCCCACCCTGCGCCCCCTCTGGCCCTTCAGCAGGGGCCTCAGCTCTTGATGCAGGGTCTCCATTTTCTGACAATGAACCAAAGTCAGCGGACCAGTCGGCGACGAAGCCAGTGTCTGCAGCCTGCTTGGGGAAAGGCAGGGAATGGGTTAACGTTTGACCCCGTTCCTCTTAACTCCCAGGACTGAGTCCGCCTGAAGGGCCAGTAGTTTATGAAAATACAGATGGACAGGACTCGTAGCAGAAAGGCAGAATGTTCTAACAGATCATCAAACAAAAACGCATTCACTATGAATTCTAGGTAAATTATTACAAACAGTACAGCTCTGTTAGGTGGATATTCATGCTTCATGTTCATGCTTTATGTATATGTGTCTGTTTCCATTGCACTTTGTTGCATTTTTCTTTTATCAATGCATCAACCTTTCCAAAATCCATTAATGTGAACATTCTCATTGTGAGTCAATAAATATAAATTAAAACCTGCTCTTAAGCAATAGTTGATCAGAATATAGTGATGATAAGAAACAGAACAGATGTGTAACTGTGTGTACTTACAGGCTGAGCTGTTTGGGCATTTGCCTAAAAGAAAAAAACAATTGATATGTACAGTTACAGAGACAATTGACCATCTTCAATTCAATGAATGTGAATTCTTCACTTTTTCACTCAATGATAATCTGAAAAGTAAATGTTTGTAATTAATAACAGTGTAAAATTATATCAGCTTTACTCACCGACCACATATCCCAAGGTACAGCTGTCTGAAATGGTCAGAGCACAAGGTGTTCATGTAAATAAACACATTTATACACTTATGGAAATACTGCAATATTAATATATTGATGATTACATTTTAGGCCTACAATACCAAGAGAGAAATATAAATGGTAAATGGATTGTACTTGTACAGAGCCTTTCTAGTCTTCTGACCACTCTTTTTTACACTACATGCCACATTCACCCGTTCACACCCTGATGGCAAAGCCCATCGAAAAGAAAATAACTTATTCATTCACATTCACACACCGATGCACAGCATGTCGACATGCAGCAGGGAGAAGCCGGGGATTGAACCGACAACCTTCCTATTAGCTTTCAAACTGAAAATTTACTAGTGGTACTGCTTTCTGCTTCAAACTGCTGCAGGTAAAATCTGAGAGAACCTGTGGTATCGGTGAAACACTCTCATCTGGTTGAAAGGCATCAAAGTCCAGGTCGAGCAGAGATTCTCCTGGTCTTTCATTGGGCTGTGGACAATAACAAAATAAAAACAGGTAAACAGGTAAATACTAATTGCTCTGCTGAACACGTAAACCTGTGATGACTCTACAGACCTGTGATGGTGAAGGTGCTGGTAAAAATTCTCCTCCAAACAGGTCAATGATTTGCTCCTCTGCCACCTCTTTGGTAGGTGTGACCTTTGGTGGTGGGGGCACCGGCGGTCCCTTTTTAAGCTGCCAAAAACACAATGAGTCACTATTAACTCAACTCAAATTTAATTAAGCAGCATTTCTTTACTTTTCCTGAAGCATTTTAATGATTAATGTTTAAAATAAAAGAGGGTAGTAACACAGTAAGGGTGCATTAAGGGTGCAGTTGTTTAGTGGTACCACTGTAACAAAGACTTCTGGTTCGCAGGTTTATTTATCAGCAAATCTATTTCTATTAATTTCTTCTTTGCACTGTTATCTCACACCAGAGAGAAACAATAAGATCAATAAAATTGTGAAATTGTCTCTGTGAATAAAATATCCAGGTGCTCTGGATATAGTAATTCCTCAAACAACCCTCAGAACTTTATTAAGGGCAGTACTACAGGATGCAGAATGTATGTTATACATATAGACCGATCAGCAGTAGCACTGTGAGCACTGGACTCCCTAACTGGTCCCAGACCAACAGACTGCTCTGCAGTGTGTGTTCTGATCCCTTTCTCAGCATTAACTGTGGATCG